TCTTACTTTTTCTGCTTTTCCCACCATTCTTCCCGTTGATCACCCTGTCTTATTCGCTGCTGATTGACCTTGGAGAACGAGTTCCAGCCTTTTTTGGGGGGAACTGAAGACTAGATGTGGAAGGCTTAGAGAGGATTCTAACACTGCTGGGATTGAGACAGAAATGATGTCAGATGGTGTTCCTGGTTAGGTTCCTCCATCTGCACCTTGACCAGTTTCTACTGAGCTGATTCTCGAGAACCCGTGAACTCAAAATTCCGTGTAAAGGGAGTTCAGATAGAGATGATGAGGGGTCAGAAGAGGCCAGTGGTGAATTTAACTCCGTAGCCTAGAATCTTGTAGGGGTAAAAACTATTTATCATCATTTGCACACTCTTACTGGGCACGTATTGTGGCCAAGACTCAGGTTCCTGTGTGTCTGTGGAGAGCCTTCGTTGCGGGTATCCACAAAATGAGTTGAAACAAAGCTCGCGCATGAGAAGGACAGATGGAGCTCTCCCTTGCTCCTGCCACCTTCTCACCATCTGCAGTCTTCTTCTCATTGCTGAGGGATCCTTCCCGTGGTCACATTTGCCTGTAGCCCTCCTGAGCCCTAGAGTCTGCAGAAAACCTCTAGCCGGACAGCTTCTGGGTGGAGAAACAGGCCATGAAGAGCCTCCTGGGTGTGCACATGTGGCTGCGCTCTGTGATGAGGGAAAAGCAGGAGTATCTGTCCGCCGTGATCACGTGTAGCGGTCACGGCGAGTGATGACAGGGCCGCTCCTCGTTAGCCTCCAATCAGGCTGTGTGGCAGCGATCGCCTCCATGTTGATAGAGAGTCCGTGTAGTTTGAGAGTGAGGCTCGGCCTCTTTCGGTGAGTGTCTCACAGTTCCTTTCTCCCTCAATCCCGCAATGCCATCCAGAACGATTATGTTCTGAACTGATTAATCAGCAGGACATAAAGACAACTGCTGCCCAAAGCAACGGTTGTGCCGCTCCATCCACGGAATAATTAAACAAACAGGGCACAGTGGGGTTCCCACCAGTGAGGACTTGGGTGCAGGAAATTCCAGTCTCTTCTTACTTGAATCCAGGTGTCAAGCCATCCTGGCCACCACTCAGGCTGTTCCTTTAGCTTTCTGGATCCCATTCCCTGCCGGTTTATGCTTGGGAGTGAAATAGTGACTGTCCCTTTGACCCCGAGAGCTGGGGAGAAGGCCGTGCATGTTAACAGCTGCCCGGACCCTCTCTGGAGTGCGGCAGGGAGAGGTGGGGCAGGAGGAGATGTTGCCAAGAACCTAAGGGTGTTAGTGACAAAAGCAAGAACTCCTGGCAAGAAGTCCGAGGGACTTTCTTGATCGCAAGTGGCATCTCCTAAGCACTTTAATTACAGCGGATTAAGCAGGAAGTGGAGTGCTGGACTAAAGGAATAATGATACAAAGGAGGTGAAGCAGAAAAACTCAATTTCCTTCCTTTAAAGGGAAAAAATGTCCATTTATTTAGATGAATTGCAAAGAAAAGAATGGAGCGTGGCCTTCCCCCCAGCTCGGAGCTCAATGGGTTTTTAAAGAACTGGGTATCTCTTTGGCCAGAACAGCAACTGGGATCTTCAGCCTCTCTGCAGAAAATGAGCCGCGGGCTCGGGATTTTGTTAAGCTGCAGGAGCATTCCTTCTGGACCGATGACTCACTCATTCAGCCCCTTCTTTCCCGCTTCTCCTTGTCAGCCCTCGCCTGGCTTAGCTCATATTTTACATTCAGCACCTCTAGCTACCCAGAAATTGCATGCAAAATTGTGAAATAGAAAAGCAGTGGGCCATGTGCTCCATCAGCTCCGCCTGGCATTGCATCATCCTTGACTTGCATGCTCAGGGGCTGGGCTAGGAGATTTGCCTACAGAAAGCCTGAAGGTCCCACAGACCTTCCACAAGTTGCGATTTGAATACACGCTCGTAGCACACATGCTGTGTAACTGGGGCAGATCTGTAGGAATGAATGGAACTGAAATCAGACCTTAGAAAGTCACGGTGAACAAGAAAATTGCCAGAGTGGAATGCAGATACACCTAGTGGTTACTGTCCCGTACGCAGCGGCTGTGTGAGATTTGACTGTGTTTTACTAAGAGGAGCCTTGTTGGGCCCAGTGCTTAATAACCAGCCCTGCCTGTCGGGAATCCCCCACAGTATCCTGTTTGTGATTCACGCTATGCAGAGTCCAGGGCAAGGAGTTTTAAAACCTTATCATGTTTTGTTTTGAGATGGAGTTTTGCTCTTGTTGCCCAGGCTGGAGTGCAATGGCGCAATCTCGACTCACCACAACTCTGCCTCCTGGGTTCAAGCGATTCTCCTGCCTCAGCCTCCTGAGTAGCTGGGATTACAGGCATGTGCCACCATGCCCATAGAGACGGGGTTTCTCCATATTGGTCAGGCTGGTCTCGAACTCCTGACCTCAGGTGATCTGCCCGCTTCGGCCTCCCAAAGTGCTGGGATTATAGGCTTTTTTTTTTTTTTTTGAGATGGAGTCTCGCTCTGTCGCCCAGGCTGGAGTGCAGTGGCGAGATCTCAGCTCACTGCAAACTCTGCCTCCCAGGTTCAAGCCCTTCTCCTGCCTCAGCCTCCCCAGTAGATGGGACTACAGGTGCCTGCCACCACGCCCAGCTAATTTTTTGTATTTTTAGTAGAGATGGGGTTTTACCGTGTTAGCCAGGATGGTCTTGATCTCCTGACCTCATGATCTGACCACCTTGGCCTCCCAAAGTGCTGGGATTATAGGCATGAGCCACTGCGCCCGGCCATTTTGTTTTGTTTTTAAGAGACAAGGTCTCACTCTGTCACCCAGGCTGGAGTGCAGTTGCGTGGCCATAGCTCACTGGAACCTGGAACTCCTGAGCTCCAGTGACCCTGCTACCTCAACCTCCCGAGTAGCTGGTACCTGTGAGTGTGCACCATCACACCTGGCTATTTTTTTTTAATTAACTTTTTGTAGAGATGGGGTCTCGCCATGTTGCTCAGGCTTGTCTTGAACTCCCACCTCTGCCCACGTGGTGGGCATTCAATTCCTATACCTCTTCCTCCCTCCTCTCTTGACTTGCCTCCTCCTGGATCATGATAGCCTATCATTTTCCTGTCACAGCATTAATGGTAAGGCTTGAGGCTGGGCGTGGCACCCATGCCTGTAATCCCAGTGCTTTGGGAGGCAGAGGTGGGAGTTCAAGACAAGCCTGGGCCATGTTCAGCACTTTACATGCCCATTCATTGAATTTGCACAGCCGCCCATATGGCGGGCATCATTATTCCTACTGTACAGGTGAGGAAACGGGGCTCTGTGAAGTGTGACTGTTTGTGGGAGGCAGCAGCCGGCATGATGGAAAAAGCGCAGGCGTTGGAGGTGGGATCCAAGTCCAGCCTTCCTCCCACAGGTTCAGTGATGTGGGGCAAGTTACATAACATCATTTTCTCATGAGTAAAATCCGGACAGGCATACCTACACGCTGGAGCACGGGGAGGATTCAGTGAGATCGTGTAGATGACAGCACCGGCCTGGCGTACGAGAGAAAATGGCAGGGATCATTCTATGACCTCACAGTGGAAGAAGCAAGATCTAAGCCCTGAGAGGTGGTGCGCATCCCACCCTCGGGCTCCTTCCACCAGGACACCGGCTTCTGGATCTCCGCGGAGTTCTGTTCTTAAGTTAGCGGGGACACAGTGCAGGACACCTGGGGACCCAGTGCCCTTGGAATTCTTTACCTTCAGCTTTGCATGCTGCACATGAGTCCTCATGGCTCAGCAGAGAGAGCCGAGGTCGGCAGGAGGATCTCTGTCTTGCACAACATATATGATTCTCTGAGCATTTCTATATGTTGAAAATATTTTATTTAAAAATGTACAACCACCCCTCCTCCCCAAAATTGCGTGACAGAGATTTCATCAGACCTGACAGCTAATGAGACAAGGAGGACAAGGCACAGAGAGGAACAGAGAAATAATCCTTGTGCATACCTTCCGAATTTCCATATATTACTAAAATTACCCATATCTGTGTCTGTCCTGCCGCTCTGTGCATTACATATCTTTGCATCCCCCAAGCCTAGCACAGTGCCCGGCACATAGTAGGTGCTCAAAGTGCCCATCATTTGTTGAACTGAGCTCACAACACAGAAATAGAGAGCCAGTTAGAGCAAATGCTGTCCCTTTTCCCAGGACTGTAGCTTCCAGACCCGTGTGAGGCCTCAGCCTGATTTCTGTTCACCTGAGGACCCCAAGGCAAACTGCATTTCCATCAGCACCTCACTTGCCTGCAGCAGCGGGACGGGTTGGTGGCGGGCACCAGAGGTGCTCAGTGTTCAGTCACTCAGAAAGTGGGTGAAAGGGCCGCGCCTCCTGCTCCCTCCAGCGATGCACTTCCATTCTCTGAAATGACAACTTCTCTGCACTCACTTAATGGGATCCCAAATAACACGTTGCAGACCAGTCTTTTATCACTGTTGCCCCTTGGAACACATTTCGAATGCTGGCCATTAAAAGCAGGCCATTTCACGGTTCTTTAATGATGACACTAATAACTGTGGATTTTTGTCTCCCAGAGTCGTGATGAGCTGAGCCAAGGAGCAAATTACAGAGCTAACTTCTATGTGCATGGTTTACTGATCTGTGAGCTTCAAGGAAACTGCACCAGCCCCTATAGTTTGGCAGTCCAGACTACCTTTTCATCTGCGTAATTGGGCCACGAGGGCACAGTTAATATTCAATTTATATTAATAGGAAGACAAAGAACATGATGTCCCAGCTCCATATTGAAGTAATGGGCATTTCAAAATATTCTACCTGGTAATTATAAATAAATCAGTTTTCCCATGACCCAGCCAGGATGATGTCGCTAATTCACTGTGCATTTCCTCATAATTTATCCTGAGAAAGTTCAGTGCTGCCATGTGCACTTATATCGCAGAGTATACAAGGGTGCTCCTTCGTAAAACACCCAGCTGTCTTCATCCATGCTGTTCCCCATCTTTTCTTAACAGGTGAAAGTCATGCTTCGCATCTGTTCCACCTTGGCTCGAGATACCTCAGAATCCAGCTCTTTCTTAAAGGTGGACCCACGGAAGAAGCAGATCACCTTGTACGATCCCCTGACTTGTGGAGGTCAAAATGCCTTCCAAAAGAGAGGCAACCAGGTTCCTCCAAAGATGTTTGCCTTCGATGCAGTTTTTCCCCAAGACGCCTCCCAGGTGGGTATCAGCCCCCTCTCAGGCTCAGCAGTGTTGATTAAAGAAGCGTTTACTCATTCACAAGGGCTCTTGAGCTGGGAGGGTGTCTTCTGGAGCGTTCGGATGGACCAGTTCCTTCAGGAGTCAATCTGAGCTCCATTGAATGGTCCAGTGCTTTTGAATTACTGGTGTCAGACTTTGGGCAGGATCAGCGTGCAGGAATTTCAATAAAACATGTCCTTGAGGAGCAGGAAGTGCGAGCCAGTCAGTGGATCACACACAGAAGCAGGAAGATAACAGAAAGGGACAAGGACAATGCGTCAAGGGGCTGGTGACAGATCCAGTAGGACCCTACTCCTGCCTGGGCATTGTACGAAGGGAAAAAAATGTTTCAGGGAGCTGATTAGAATTAGGCAATCTCCTAGGACCCAGTATAAGCACACTGGGGTTGAGGGCAAGTCTGTAGTCCTGGTAAGGAACTGGAGTTCAAGGCAGGGAAACCGAGGCTGACATGCATCCTGTGGCCTGGCTCAGTGGAGTGAAGGGGAAGAAGAGAGGCTCAGGGATAGGTGTTATATTCGCTTAATTGCTGCATTACAAATCACCCTAAAATTCAGTGTTTAACACAATAAGCATGTATTATTGCTCATCGGTCAGCTGAGCAGCTCTTCTGGTCCTAGCTCAGCTCATTGGTATGTCTATGATCAGCTGTGGCTTGGGTAGGCAGCTCTGTGGATCTTGGCTGGATATTAGCCAGGCGAAATAAAATCATGCTATATCACACCACAGGCACATGTCTTTGGGGGTTGGCTGGCTTTCCGCTGGTCTAGAATGGCCTTGACCAGGTCGGCTGGTCTCTCTTCCACATTGTCTGTCATCATCCAGCAAGCTAGCTTGGGCTAGTTTTCAAGGCAGCATCCAGGACCCATCCATGCAGGTCTCTGGAGGCCTAAGCTCAGAATTGACCCAATATCACCTCTGCTGGATTCTACTGGCCCAGCTTCATGAGATGGAGAAGAGATTGCTTCTAATGATTGGATGAGCTCCAAGTTACATTGCAAGGGGGCTGCACCCAGGCTGGGGTGGAGAATTGGGGCCATTTTTATTAATCTACTGTGAGCATAATTGGGAGGCTACTTAGGGGCCCAGGGTACCAAAATTACTGAGCCATGGGCAGCCAGTGAACTGCAGACCTCACCAGATGCTGCAACTAAAGCTTCTAGTAAATATCTGTTCTCATTTGGATTCGCCCTGGAGCTTTGGTGAAGATGGGCCTCTAAGCGGGACCAAATAGCACCTGTTCCTGTGGGGGAGGGAGCAGGGACACACGTGTAGAACTGATTGCAAAAATGAATAACCCAGGTTACAGGATATAGTGGCCTACTTTGCCTGCAATTTGCATCTTTCTGATAAGTTTCTAGTGCTTATCAAGATTTACATTAAACAGTGTATAGTATAATAACTAACAACCTATAGCAGAACCTGATGACAACAGTGCAAATAGTTACCATCTGCAGCCTCTGTGAATTTCTTCCAGGCTGCATCTGAGTAGAGGAGGTGGCGATGTTCTCACGGGCTCCTCTATTAACCGTGGGCACGTAGCACGTGTCACAGGCTCCATTCATTAAGAAGTTGAGCATGTGGTTTCCCCAAAGAGTTTTACTCAAGAAGACAAAGTACTTTATGAATCAGTTCTACGGTTTCTCTCTTTATTACGTTTTTTGTGTGGCATAGCACCCAATGGGCTCGGTCATTTAAACCTGACATTGGGGCTAATAAATGGCCTACAAATAATTTCATGAACACAGTTAAAACTTTTCAGAAGCAAATCTCCACAAGTTGTAAGAATTCCAAAACAACTCCTAAATTAAGCATGGACTATTAATGAGCTGTAGATTTATTTCAGAAAAAGGGGCCGTTTTCATTGCTAGCCTTTGTTTACATGTCACACTTGGCTCCAGAGCTCAGTACACTCAATGTTGGAGTTTCACTCGTTTCAGAACGCCTTACTTTCATTCACATTTCCAATGTTGTTATAATTTACATGTCTGTGTCAATTCGCAGTTTTCAAGACATTTCAGAGACATTAACGCATTTGACTCTTCCTAGAATTCAGTGGGGTAGGAAGGGAGGCATTGATGTTTTCATGTAACACACAAGGAAACCAAGACTCAAAGATTAAGTCACCTGTTCAAAGTCTCTTTCCCGAGCAGACGTCCTTCCTGGATTCCCCCCCCCACCCCACATTAACCTCTCTGTATCCTGCTCGGTATCATATTGTATCTTTGACCCCTAGCAGTGTGGCCTCGGGCGAGTCACTCAACCTCTCTGGGCCGCAGTGTCCTCATCTGTCAAGTAAGAACATGACCACAGTGTTCCTCATCAGGCTGTGTGATTCATCAACACATAAGGTGCTCCCAGCAGAGCCAGCAACACAGCAAGTGCTTAATAAATGCGGCTATTTTTACTGTTATCACTGTCAATAATAGCAGCATGCTGCCGGCCAGGGCCAGCTCAGCCCCACGGGGTGGGCACCCCTGGAGCCCCCAAGCCCGAAAGGAGGGAGTGTGCGGCGTGGGCCTGTGCTCTCCAGTCCTGATTTTCAGCCTGTGAAGCTGCAGCCGCTATGGTGACCCAGGCAGTTAGAAATCGTGCTTTCTCTTGGTTTCTAAGGAAATCAACTTCCTGAAGCTAAGCAATGATTAGAACAGTCCTGGTTCCTGGTTGCCTTCGAGAGCCATCCATATGGCCCTTCAGTGGCTTCGGCAGTCGCTGGCTGCCCTTGTTGGGACACGCCTCTGTGGGGACACAGCTCTGCCGGAGAACCTGGACTTGTGGGCAGGCGGATGCTTCCTGCAGACCTGGCCCTGCCCACGGGTCTGTGCTCGGGAAGGCCGCATGCCTCTCCAGGTCCACGGGGAAGCAGCAAGGGGCCTCCGGGCCACCGTCAGCTCTTAACACACACCAGATGGACAGCACACTGACCACTGTCTTCTCAGTAGAGAGCCGGGCGGGAACTGTGCTGGGGGGTGATGCCTCCCCAGCTCTGCGCCGCAGCTCTCCTCTCACCCCGGCCTCTGCACAAGTGACTCAGTGTGGTCCACACACAGCCAACATTGTCCCAGGCGGCTCAGGAATCAAATACAGCTTATTTTATGTATAGCTCAAGAAGATTTCTCAGCCTCCTGCCTCCCGTCCCACTTTATGTCCAAAGAAGGCTTAGTCCATCGGGCAGCCTTCTGCCCGCTCTGCAGACACGCCTCTGGCAAATTCCGTCAAGACGCTACTGCTTCTGTCTCAGGGTTAGCACTGCGCTCTCCTTGCCTAAGTCCTGGGGGGGTTGAAAGGTCCTGTGAGCCCCACAGCAGCCCTGTCCTGCCACCCCTTGGGCCCAGGAGGAGCCCCCCACCCCCCACAGAGTTGCTGGGGACCACCCGGGAACAAGTGACAGTTGTTGGAAGTGTGGTTTTCAATTTTCAGTTTAGGAGAGAAAACTGATTTCCAAATACTTGGGTTCATTGTGCGGCTGGAACTTACAGCTGAATAACAACATTCACAGCCCAGGTGCCCACCGGGAGGCACGCTGCCGGAGGACTGCAAAGCCTCATGTTAGAACCGCCTCCCGGAGCTCCCACGAGCCCTGAATCCAGCTTCGAGACAGAAATGAGAGCAACAGGGCACAGCCAGTAATGCTTCTGTGGAAAGTCTCAGGTGCTAACCAAAGAGAAGGAGGCTTCCCAGATTTCCAAGTTCGTCCACAAAACTGACTGAGCGCTGATGGCTTGCAGGGCGCTGTGTTAGTGGGTGTTCAGGGGAAATACATCATCGAGAGCCTCGTCCCTGTCTAGGATTTAATAATCAAATGGGAGACCAGACACACACACACCAGGCCAGAGAACACCTAATAACATACCATGTGGTGACTGATATTCTATATGTTGAATGTATCTGTAGCAAAAGAAAGAAAAGGCAGGTTTTGAAAAGAGGAGGATGGGCCGGGCGCAGTGGCTCATGCCTGTAATCCCAGCACTTTAGGAGGCCGAGGCAGGTGGGTCACCGGAGGTCAGGAGTTTGAGACCAGCCTGACCAACATGGTGAAACCCCCTCTCTACTAAAAAAAATGCAAAAAAAATTAGCCAGGCATGCTGGCGCACGCCTGTAATCCCAGCTACTCGGGAGGCTGAGGCAAGAGAATCGCTTGAGCCTGGGCGGCAGAGGTTGCAGTGAGTCGAGATCACACCATTGCACTCCAGCCTGGGCAACAAGAGTGAAACTCCGTCTCAAAAATAAAGAAAGAAAAGAGGAAGGTGTGAATTGAAATCAAGGAAAGAGGTCGGGAGAGAAAGCAGATATATATCACAAACCTCTTGCCTATGTGAGGACTACCGCGTCTCTCAAGGTCTGTCTTGTGAAATGGTGGGTCACCTTTTTCCTGTAAAAAGCCCGGCCTGTTTCATAAACTCTGTGTATACATGTGTCAGCAGAGGGTGAGTGGAGAGTTTAAAGGCCTTGTCTGGGAGCCCAGAGTGTCCGATGAGGGAAGGGAATGAGGTGCGTGAACACACTGCCCCATTCCAGCCTGCTCCTGCCTGCGCTACGGACGCATTTGCTGAAATGCACCATGGATTAGCAGAAGGGTGGTTGGCAGTGGACGTGCGGTAATGCTCAGGCTTGCAAAGGGCGGAAGGTTGCCAGGGGTTCTGAGCATCTCCAAAACTTCATGGCAGAGGCCAACCCACCTGGGAACACAGCTGACACCCGAAGCCCCAGGAAGGTGGGTTCACTTTCGTTGTTAGTGATTCCTCCACTGCAAGGTTCATTCATGGCTTGTGTCTCCTCTTGTGTCTGACAGGCTGAAGTGTGTGCAGGCACCGTGGCAGAGGTGATCCAGTCTGTGGTCAACGGGGCGGATGGCTGCGTGTTCTGTTTCGGCCACGCCAAGCTGGGTTCGTGAGAGTTGCGCTTTCTCATGCGGCTCGCTGGGCTCCCTGTCGTCCCATGCATTCCTCTGTCTCCCTCCCAGAGTTTCTCCGATGACAGGAAGGGCTGCGTTTCTCTTAGATGCTGAGCTGAATAACCAGTAACAAGTTAGAAGACAAACACCTATGTTCGTTGTAGGCGGACACCCACTCATGTAGGAAAGGCTTCAAGTCCAAGAGGTGGACAGAGAAGTAGCAGGGTTGTTCCCACTTGGTCCAGGTCAGAGCCAAGCCCAGAAGGCAGAAAGGAAAATGTTCATTTCCTGGGCAGCCGCTGTTTGCAGATAGGCCCCTTGCCCTACCCCCTCCATGAGGCTGTGGGTTGGTGGTTGGACCCCTGTGAAAGCCAGAGGAGCAACCTCCAAGCAAAGCCCAGAGCCCAGGACGCATCTGGGGAAAGCGGTGCACACCATCAGGAACACTCCAGCACTGGAGCGTCTGGGAAAGGAGGCAGCAGAGCCCCCAGCAAGGGGTTCATAAATGCCCCCACAGTCCCGTTTTAATTCTGACCTGCGGCCATCTGCTCCGCTGGCCTCGCCCTTACACGCTTGATATGTTTAGTGAATTGAGGAGCTTCAAAAAGTGTCCCTTGGCAGAGATTCCAACAGGGGCCTTGCTAGAGCTCACGGAGACCAGTTCTCAGGACAGAAAGCCATCACCTCTCTCTGCACTTCCGCCCTCCCCAGCCCTTCCTCTTGATCTTGATCTAAACAGTGATCTGGATTTTAATGGAATTTGCTCATGCCATAAAAATATACACAGCATTTAACTCGAGACAGGATATAAAGTGTGAATATGTGGGCTTCATCTGGGGGGTGGCTATAAAAACTATAATGATGATGAAAAACCCGTGCCTTCCTACTGTGTGTAAAGTAGTGCAGGAACTGGATAGCATGGGATATCTGGGGTCCTCCTCAAGGTACATTGTGATTTAATCCTGTCACATGTCTGGGCTCTTGCTTTGTTTCTTTTTTTAAGAGATGGGCTCTCAGTTGCCTGGGCTGGAGTACAGTGGCATGATCATAGATTACTGTAACCTCCAATTCCTGGGCTCAAGTGATCCTCTCGCCTCAGCTTCCCCAGCAACTGGGGCCACAGGCATGCCACACCACACCAGCTGATTTTTAAAAATTTTTCCTAGAGGCAGGGTCTCAGTGTGTTGCACAAACTGGCCTGGAAATCCTGGCCTCAAGCAATCCTCCCATCTTGGCCCTGCCAAAGTGCTGAGATTACAGGCATGAGCCACTGAGCCCAGCCAGCATTCTTTATTATAGCCATTTAGTTAGTAATATCAGATAATGCCTTCCGTTGTTGTCAAATACTACTTCTCTCATCTTTTCATTCCTTCTCTTCCCTTTTCCCCCCTTCCCCGTGCCTTTCTTCTATATCCTTGGCATCTATTTTGGAGACTCCACGGAATGATGCCTGGATACTGAACCTGCTTTCCTTCCTTCCCTGGTTCTCCCAGGAAAATCCTACACCATGATCGGAAAGGACGATTCCATGCAGAACCTGGGCATCATTCCCTGTGCCATCTCTTGGCTCTTCAAGCTCATAAATGAACGCAAGGAAAAGACCGGCGCCCGTTTCTCAGTCCGGGTTTCGGCCGTGGAGGTGTGGGGGAAGGAGGAGAACCTGCGGGACCTGCTGTCGGAGGTGGCCACGGGCAGCCTGCAGGACGGCCAGTCCCCAGGCGTGTACCTCTGCGAGGACCCCATCTGCGGCACGCAGGTGATTGCTTCTGAAGCCTGGATCGCCCCAAGGTGGCTCCCTCCCCACCTCAGAGGCTGGGGCACCTCAACTCGTGAATCACTCAGCCTGTAAACTCGGGGGCTTACAGGTGTTTACTTTAAAGTGGACTAGAGCTTTATGGCCTGCAGCTGCGGGGCCATCTGCTTGTCCAATCTAAATATTTGTACCTTGACTCTAATTGACAATGAGCAGGAACCTCAATTGTTGTAGCATTTGGGGGAGAAATGGAATTCACTTTCTTTATGCCCCTTTCAAAAAAAAAAGTACAATCTTCCTTTGTTTAACAACAAACCGAAATATTTACTGCTCTGCACAAATAGCTAGAGCCATTACGGGGGCTGTTTATGACTCTGTAAACTGTGTGTCGGGCACTGGTTTACAGCCGGACTAGCAGTGCTGCAGGAAAAACTAATCACCACTTTCTAATTAGAACCATGATATAATTGCTAGAACTATGGAAGCCGAGAGAAGCTCCAGTTCGCCGTTTCAGGATGCTATGCCTGTTGGGAGGGTCTCTCCTTTGCTGTTTGACAATAGATGTAGGAATGACTCAGAAGCTGCAATTCATATCCAGAATAATCAATCCTTCCAGTCTCTAACAGTAGGCTTTATTTTCCCGTGTTATCAGAGGCCTCCTTTTGTAGATAGGTGTTGCGTTTGATAAGTACCTGCCTCTTTCCAACTGGGATTGTTTGCACAGGTGAGGATCCCTCCCTTGGCCTGTTATACTCATCACTCAAACCCGACCATGCTCTGCCCCTGCTTAAAGCACCTCAGATCCTTCCATTTCCCTGAGTCCTCTTTCGTCTGCATCAGTCACCTCGAGGACTTGTTTAAACACTGATTGCTGGGTACTCCCCGCCAGAGCTTCCAGTTCAGTAGGTCTAGAGCAGAGCTCCAAAATGTGCATTTTCAACAAGTTCCCATGAGGTGCTCATGCTGCCCGTCCAGGGACCACTTGTTGGAAACCACTGTTCTGAGGCATAAAATGTGCAGAGACAGTATCTACACAGTGTCTGTGATGGAATCAGGAGGACGCGACCCACTGCTCCTGTTCCAGGCAACTTCTCGACATTCAAATATGCTTTCATTCGCTTTTAGAACTTCATTGATGAAGTTCCACTAAGGGGTGAAAAATCTGGTTAAATGAAGGCTAAGCAAAAGAGGAAAAGACCAATGTTCACTTTAACTCCTGTTGAAAAATCTTTTAAATTCTTTGGTTTATTTTTCCATAGCGAGACAAAATTGCTAACACAGAAGAATCTCTCTTTGAAGTTTGAGGATTTTGATGGCCTCACGTTCTAAATATTGGCTCTTACAGTTCAAAATTATTTGTATAGTTAGAGTAGAAAATTGTCAGAATTTGTACCAACCTTAAGACATGTATTGCGAATTAGTTCTTTGAACAAATCAGAAATATGAGTTTCCTTTTCTCTCCAAAAAGAGGAGTGCTGGTTAAATTCTGTTAATGTGATTGTTGTGATTCAGATTTAAAATAATTGCCAAGTATTTTCATAAGATTTAGATGCATTACCCTCTATGCTTTCTTTAGTCAATTAATGAGTATGCTAGGAGCATGGATTCAGGAACTAAAGGTAAAAATAGATATCTCCTAAATTTAGAAGAGACATTCAAGTATGAGTGTTTCAGGGTGCCTTTTACACTGGCTTCTTATTTATAACTATGCTGGTAAATATGGCCTAAAATTGGCTTTAATTAAATCACTGAAAAACTGGGAGTCAAATGAAAGCTAACCAAGGTTTTTTACATCTTTGGGACACCACTGCTATGAGGTCTCAAATCACATCTTGCAACCTACCTGTCTCCAAACAATCTAATCTTTGGACTCGAGATGCAGTCACATCGCTCCTGCTTTCTTAGGTAAATGGATAGCGAGGGGTGTTGGTCTGCCGCCCTCTGCAGAGATAATCATGAGCCATCTGCTCCCAGCTTTTCACACCCACTAGTTCCAGATTCTACTTAGGTTGTAAAATAGGTAAAAATAGGTTTCATGCAATAAGTATGCTCAATATTAATTTTCAGAAACGAATTAATTAAGCTGAGAATTGCACATGAGCATAGCACCTCGTTGCAGAAGGGTTTTTGGCCTTAGAGAGGCACGTGGCTTTACTATACAGAAGGCACAGCCAGCTGAGTGGAGCCAGGGACACCCAGGCGTGAGTGACAGCAAGCGCTCCTCAGCCTGCAGCCTCAGCTTTTGGCTTCTGTCTTCCAGTTGCAGAACCAGAGCGAGCTGCGGGCCCCCACCGCAGAGAAGGCTGCCTTCTTCCTGGACGCCGCCATTGCCTCCCGCAGGAGCCACCAACAGGACTGCGATGAGGACGACCCCCGCAACTCACACGTGTTCTTCACACTGCACATCTACCAGTACCGGATGGAGAAGAGCGGGAAAGGGGGAAGTAAGTCGACCACTCCACCCTCCTGCCTCCTTAGCGGCTCTGGCCCTAGCCAGAAACCCCTCGGACAACCATGACGTGTGTGTGTGTGTGTGTGTGTGTGTGTGTGTGTGTGTGTGTGTGTCAGGGTCTTGCTCTGTCACCCAGGCTGCAGTGCAGTGGCACGCTCACAGCTCACTGCAGCCTCAAACTCCTGGGCTGAAGTGATCCTCCTGCCTAAGTCTCCCAAGTAGCTGGGACTGCAGGCTCATGCCACCACACCTAGCTATTTATTTTTTTATTTTTTAGAGATGCGACCTTGCTATGTTGCCCAGGCTGGTCTAGAACTCCTGGTCTTGAGATCCTCTTGCCTTGGTCTCCCAAAGTGTTGGGATGACAGGTATGAGCTGCCACGCCTAGCCAAACTTTTCTTACTAGACTACAATATGCAGTTCAGTGATTCGTAATGCAAGATAATTATAGTGTCTGGGCTGAAGTTTACTTTTGAACTGCCCAGGGAAAGGTGTTTGCTTTGGTAAAGATGATTTACAAATGTCCTGAGAATGTGAGAGGTCAAACTCACAAAAAGAAAACAACTGCCTAACAGTATCTTTTTGTTCACAGACCCCAAAAATGCTCATCAAGACCAACATTTATCCACCAAGGCACCCTGGCAGTGTGTTATTATCATTAGCTTGAGGCCACTACGTGGGCCATGTGTTTTTAAATAGCAGAGAAATCAGAGTTTTGAATAACTACCCAGACCCTGGCTGCCTCCCTCAAATCACCGGTGAAGGTTTACTGTCAAAACCCAGGCACAGTGTCCGCTCTTCGAGTGAGCTGCCCTGCCAGGAACCCGACACTGTGCCCCTACGCACCCCTCTTGGCTGTGTTTCCAAAGTCAGCCCGGGCCGGGGTGCAATCCTCTGCCTTCTGTGAAGTAGTGTTTACTCTTTGCCCAGCAGAGTTGAGCACCAGATCAGCTGAATGTCTCCAGTGGGGATCTCGGAGCAGGGGCAAAGTGGTCTGTTGATTTCACTGGGTTCCTAAGGCAGGTTATGGGTAACAGGGCTGCTGGGCTGGCCGGGCAGTGGCTCCCGTGGTTCCTCCATGTCCCGCTCTGCACGGCTTTCAATACACAGGTAACTGGTTGCCAGCGCTTTCTGCATGATTGTCTCAAAGACACTGGATGCCAGAAAAACAATCAGAAAACTGAGTTAAGAGTCTAACCCTGGACTGGAAGTTGTAAAGCTAATTGACTAAAGCAGAGACAGTCCACCAAGCTGTTCTAGATGAAGCCTAGAATTAAGACATCCAAGTAGGACCAGGCATGGTGGCTCACACCTGTAATCCCAGCACGTTGGAAGGCCGAGAGGGGCAGATCACTTGAGGTCAGGAGTTTGAGACCAGCCTGGCCAATGTGGAGAAACCCCGACTCTACTAAAAATAAAAAAATTAGCCGGGCATGGTGGCACACATCTCCCAGTTAGTTGGGAGGCTGAGGCAGGAGAATTGCTTTAACCTGGGAGGCGGAGGTTGCAATGAGCCCAGATCGTGCCACTGCACTCCAGCCTGAGTGACAGAGCAAGCCTCTGTCTCAGAAAATAAAAATAAAATGACATCCAGCTGGGATCTACGGACAGGATCCCCCTGCTTTCTCCCTAAGCCTCCTCGTGGCTCAAAAGACCTGGAAAACAGTACTCCTGGAGGGAGAGCTCTTGCAGGCTCCTGTTGCCCCCAAGCAAAAGCTCCTCCCTCCCCCACCTCAGTGACTCTCTTCCTACTCCTTAGTTATTGTTGTTAAAATCCAGGTTTATTGCAGTATAATTTACATTCACTAAAACATCACTTTTGTGTGTCTTTAGATGAGTTTTGGCCCATCTATACAGTCATGTGGCCACCACCATTATACAAATAGAGCACGAGGCTAAAGTTCCCTCTTGCCCTTTGTCCCTTCCCCTGACCTCTAGCCCCTGGCAACCATGGATCTGATTGTTGTTCTGGTTTTGCGTTTATCCAGGATATCACAGGAATGGACTCTTGTGGCCCGGACACGGCCTTTTGTGTCTGGCTTGTTTCACGTAGTGTAACGCATTTGAGATTCCTCCATGCTGCAGCACACGTCTCTTGTTTCTTCTGGTTCCTGCTGCCTGCTCTGCCTGCTCCTTTAGTTTTTTTGTTTGCTTGAGACGAAGTCTCACTCACTCTGTCGCCCAGGCTGGAGTGCAGTGGCATGATCTCGGCTCACTGCAACCTCCGCCTCCTGGGTTCAAGCGATTCTCCTGCTTCAGCCTCCCATGTAGCTGGGAATACAGGTGCCCACCACCACGTCTGGCTAATTTTTGTACTTTAAGCAGAGACAGAGTTTCACCATATTGGCCAGGATGGTCTCGAACTCCTGACCTCATGATCTGCCCGCCTTGGCTTCCCAAGGTGTTGGGATTACAGGCGTGAGCCACCGCGCCCGGCCTCTCCTTTAGTTTTGTCTGGGCCTGGAGGCTTGACTATCTACCCTGCCACCGGGACAGAACGAAAATATCCGCAGCTGGGGCTGGAGTTGCTCTAAGGGGGCCGCTTTTTATGGCTCTGAAAATCAGCCCTGAGCTGCCTCCAGTGGCTGCTGTGACGAACCCAGAGGTTCCGGTCCTCACTTGCAGCGGGCGGGGCGCCCCAGGGAGGTGGCCTGTTAGCGCGAGGTCATCTCTCTCTCGGCAGCCCGTGATGGGGAGCAAAGTCGGCTGAGGATAGTGAACGGGAATCTCTCGGGAGATTTACTCTCGGTAACAGCCTCACACCACGGAGAGCGCTTCCGCTTAGAATAACGTTCTTTTTTTTTTTTTTTTTTTTGAGACGGAGTCTTGCTCTGTCGCCCAGGCTGGAGTGCAGTGGCGTGATCTTGGCTCACTGCAAGCTCCGCCTCCCAGGTTCTCGCCATTCTCCTGCCTCAGCCTCCCGAGTAGCTGGGACTACAGGCGCCCACAACTGCGCCCGGCTAATTTTTTTTGTATTTTTAGTAGAGACGGGGTTTCACCATGGTCTCGATCTCCTGACCTTGTGATCCGCTCGCCTCGGCCTCCCAAAGTGCTGGGATTACAGGCGTGAGCCACCGCGCCCGGCCAGAATAACGTTCTTAAAGAAGGAAATAGGGATCCGGATAGGGATGAGGAGATCCAGACCTTTAAAATCAACAGCACAATTGTAGCCACACTTCTCCGGACTGTGTGGGAGTTGACCTTGAACCCTGCCCTCACTGTTTTCTCCTGGGTAGTGGCTTCGCCCTGTCAATGTAAGAGTCTGACGAATGTTTAGTTTATTCTTTTACGCAGTTGTCAATAATCATCACTATCAGAGCCTGCAGTACTTTCTTGTACTTTCAGCCAACAGTGACTTGCAAAACATCTAAATCTTGAGCCAAACGACTCCCAAATGGCACTGAGGAGAAAAACTCGGGAGATGGGATAATCTCTCCTCCTTCCGGGTTTCAAACCAAACTGAGGACAACTCTGCTTTGGGTTTTGTACTTTTTTCTTTTTTGCGGTTCTGCTTTCCACTTGGAATCTGAAAGTAGGGAGAAATCTTGAAAACAAGGAAACAGTTCATAAAATGACTTCAAATATAGGAACCTGAAATTCAGCTTCCACAAAAGTTTAGGCCAAGACATTCCCTAAACACAGTGATCCACCCCAAATCAGTACCTAAGGAATCCTGCACACTTACTAAATGTTTAATAGCCAACTCATCTCCTATTTTTAAATTGTGAAAGAGAATTGCTTTTAAATAATGCATTCAGGTTAAAGGAAAAGGCAAACACCACACATGGCTTCCAAAACCTCTGCTAGGTCCTTCCTAGTGTTTCAGTAGATGAGGACAAATAAGGGAAGGAGTCCAGGGGTCGTGGGATCGGCACACCTGGGGGACATCTCTCTCCTCTCGAGGGGAAAGGATCCAGGCCAGAGTGCACACCGCCTCCCCGCCTGGGACTTGCTTGACCTCAGTGAATTTATAACTGTTTAAAATATTATGAGGCGATTTGGAGCGTTGTTTAAAATGGAAATTTTGTTTACTTAGATATAAGTAACAATCCCTGCGGACCTGGCAGCCAGAACCCAATTAGGGGAAAGTTTATTAATTAGTCACCCCGCAGGGAAGCCATTAGAAGAGAGCTCTGCCGCAAGAACTAAATAGGCTGTGTGCGCGCGTCTGAATCTCATACGCACACATGCATTTTATACATTTTACACACAGATGCATTTTACACCTATAATTTTACACACAAATGCATTTTACCCATATGTAGACAGACAATAAAAGGTTTTAAACATTTCCAGTCAAAATAGAAAGTCTTTGTTGATGTATCCCTGTTTTGCAGATAGCACTAGGTTAAGCTTCAAATATCTCCCTGTTTAGAAGATCATTGGAATTGGAGGAACTGATCCTTCAACATCATGAAGGCCTTCCTCTGCTTTGCTAAGCCAAATCTGTGATAGCTTTGAGAGCCGCCTTGGGGATCCCAGCACTGGGAAAGAGACCCTGAGGCCCTGCTGATCAGAGAGCTGCTGATTGTAACGACGCGTGTACCAGGCACCTCAAACAAGGTGGTGCTTAGGACCAGAAGTGTTTCGGGCTTCAGGTTGTTTTCAGATTTTGGAATATTTGCTTATGTAATGATATCTTGGGAATGGGACCCAAATCTAAATATAGATTTTATGTATGTTTCATATATGCCTTATAGACATAGCCTGAAGGTAACTTTATACAAGATCTTCAATAATTTTGTGCATGAAACAAAGTTTTTTTTGCTTGTTCGTTTTTTTCTTTTTTTTTTTTGAGATGGAGTCTGGCTCTGTCGCCCAGGCTGGAGTGAGCGGCACGATCTTGGCTCACTGCAAGCTCCACCCCCTGGGTTCACGTCATTCTCCCACCTCAGCCTCCCGAGTAGCTGGGACTACAGGCACCCACCACCATGCCCAGCTAATTTTTTTTTTTGTATTTTTAGTAGAGATGGGGTTTCACCGTGTTAGCCA